ACTAGAGTCAGTTGATACCAAGCCATGAAAACCTGTCAAGAGAAGAACAGATCATTTGCGATTCAATTCTTCCTAACAACAAACTAAGAAAAAGTCCACAAACGAGCCAAGTGGCCAATCAGGCCGGTGCTTATCTCCGGTTGCTGTAGTATGAAGCGACTAGGAGTATTTCTACTCCCCCCTGGATGGGATGCTAGTCCATCGCAGGGTTACTCCCAGCATTAAGTTTGCCGGTACCCATTGAAACACCTGGGTGGGTGTCTTGCAAAAGAACTCAACACAATGTTTCCAGCCAGGGCTTGAACCCGGACCGCTCGATCCGTAGTGGAGCGCACTAAGCACGAGGCCACTACGCCTCCACAATCTACTTAAAATACTGAAAAGAAAAAGGACTTATCGTTTGACCTCAGACAGTTGCTTTTTCTCTTCGTGCTTCATCATCATTTGAGAAACCCTCTTCCTTATCAACTGATGACGCCATTTTGCCCAGAACTTTTCGTATACACGACGATCAACCTGAACAGAAAATAAATACCCAAGATAAATTGCACGACTTTTCAAGGACTCTCAATTTCTCAAGAATTAACTGTCCAAAATTCAAGAACTTTCAAGGAACCTTTTCTAACAAGAACTCCCTCCAAAATTTATGCCCATTTCAAGGCTTCTTTCTAAAATCCAATGCATTTTCAAGAGCTTCTAAAATGCACGGAAAAGAAGACTAATCATCGTTTTATGAAGTAATCTAGACTTTATTCTCAAGTACTTGTGAAATGTTCGTGGCTAGTCTGACGCGGCGTTTCGTCTCGGCCAAGAGACTCTTCAGAGACCTTTAGAATTCATAGGCAAACTCGCTGAGCATCACGCCCAAAGTCCCGTACGCAAATTCTTGATGTTGACAATCTGGCCCTCTGTCGGGCTCAAACATTCAAGGAATCATAAAGAACTTTCTTCACAGAATCCAAAGAGTTTTCAAGGCTGTGAGAACCTTTTTGTTTCTTACCATTTCAGTGGCAATTGAGTTCAAGTCGATTCTCTTCTTCCACATGTTGAAGTGTCTCTCAACAATACGCGACTCCTTCTGTTTGTTGAACAACTCAAGTTTCACGTCATGTAACCAGGCACGGAAACACATTTTGCTGAAATGGACAAGATAAATTTCAGTAAATTGTACGTCACTAAAACGAACGTAAGCTGATGTTCATCTTATCAAATGTCCATTCAACGCTTGGAATTACCATTAAAAGCTCGTTCCCATAGCAACTAAAACACCAGTTCAAGTCACCATTCATGACATACAACTACAGAAAACCGTTGCATAAGTATTTTCTAAGTATTTACCTCAGCGTTTGATGATAATGTTGGTCAGCAATCTGTTCTTGTTGCTGCAAGAAAAACACGAACTCATCATATATGAAGACTTGTAACCCGAGGATATATAAATATTATCAAACTACGGTACCAGAGGTAAACCTGGATCTAATAATTTGCAAAACACGCTCGCGATGGCATAGACACGCCCCGCCAAGCAGCAGTCCATTCAATCGTACCTTTGCCTTTTCTTTCTCTGCCTGCTTTAGCTCTGTCTTGGTCTTCCAGTCCGCAAAAAACTAGGAGAAACAATAAATTGTTAAGAATCAGACTTCCATTACATCTTGTAACAATTCCATTTTACTACAGAACAACACAAAATAAGCAAACAAAATAAAACTGCTCCTGACCTTGGCAGTGACATTCTTGTTACAGTGTTTATCCGCTCGGCTCTTAAGTGTAAACTTTTTCCACTGTCCCATGCAGCCCTGCTTCACTCGTCTGTTATGATGAACCATCTGACCGTCTATCAGTTGTGTCTGTTTGCGAGCGACTTTCAACGCCTCACGCCACTCATAGAACATGCGAGAAACCTGCAAAAAATGGCAAAATTAGAAAGAGGACTTTGTCGCGCTAAAATTTTATACTTTTTCTAGTTAAGTGCGAATAATAAGTCAGAAGACTTTTATACAGTCGACTTCCGATAACTCGAACCTTCGGGGGAAATAGTAAATGGTTCGAGTCATCGGGAGTTCGAGTTATCGAGGGTAAAATTATATAGATAATAATACACATGAAAAAATTACTCGATTTTGATTGGCTAAGAACAGTGCAGTTCAAGTGTAACACCAGTGCAAAAAGTGTAACATCAGTGCAAAAAGTGTAACACCAGTGCAAATTACACGTCGAAAT